AACTTATGCAGAGATGTGGAATATTAATTTTATGGTGTAAATGTGACTGCAAATATTAAACTGGCTTGAAAAACAGACAGTGCTTAATGTTGTCTGAGAGTTTGTTCTGCATGAAAAAAACCATTTTGCAACTTTTTATCATACACCGATAAAAGTACCGTGTGAATAACTTTTTATCAGCTTTACTGAAAATGTGAGCAAACAAAATACTGCCTTATTTATGAACAACATAAATAATCATCAAATTTATTTGAATGCTAATACGTATAACATTATAAATTTGATACGGAAAATAGCTTTCCAAAAATGAAGAAAATCAAATTTCCTATATGACGTCAAAAGACAACAGTAGGGTACAAGCATTATGAAAAGGGGTTAAATTCTCTGCTGCTAGTCCTTTGTGACTCATTTTGCTGTGGATAACGATAAAATGTTTTTGTATTGTTTTGTTCATGAGAAACCAAACTATTCCAACACAAATAATGATATAGAAACCATACACGTTTTGGTATTATCTAATAATCATAAGTAAAATCATTCTAAAAAAATTACCTGATTGTGTAAGTGCATTTTGACTGATATTAATGGAGCCTTATCAAATGTAATGATTTACTGAAAATTTGACACGTTTTTGTTTGATGTCATGTGGCTTGTTTTATGTCTGTATGCCTTTTCATTGGAAATTGATAATCGGTGACGACCTAAACATGTGGTCTGGCATTGTCATCTTGCAGTTCTGCTGACAATTCTAGGTAAGTGATCAACAACAGGTTGCTAAAATGTTTTTGTCAACATATCACTGGCCAAATGTCCATTCACAATAACCAAGTCAGTTCGCCTGTCATGTGTGATACCGCCCCACACCATGACACGACTGCCTCCATACAAATCATGGTCAAGACTTGTTGCCCTGGCTTACCACTCGCCACTACGTTGACAACAACCTTTCCTGCCATCTGTGAATCTGAGGCAAAAACTTGATTTGTCTGTAATTATGGTGTAAAGCCATTGATGCACAGCCCGTTCCTGGTGTTATCTAACCCACCCCAATCTTTGCTGCCTGTGGTATGCTGTTAGGGTCACACCCTTCATAGGACGCCTTGTTTGAGACAGGCTGTGTAGAGCTGGTTTTTAAAGTTAGATCAGAAGGTCCGTAGCTCAGATCCCATCATGGGACTCGGATATTTAATGGCCGCTACATTGGCGCCCAACATAGGGCTGAGCACGTTCATATCAAATTTGAGTAAAATCATCCTCAGTACCCCACAATCTGGCCCGGGACGTGTCCTCTGCTGACGGGAGAGTATGTAGCAGGGTGTGGAGTCATCCCACAGATGACATCCTTACCTTGTCAGCTTGCTGATGGGGTTAACCTCTTTGGTCATGTGGACAAGGCGTCCGACCTTGGATCAGAAGGTCCGTGGTTCGAATCCCATCCCGGGACTTGGAAATTTTATGGCCGCTACAATGGGAACAGATTTGAATCTTTTGCATTGTGTAAGTAATATAATGAGACAATCTTGTCTAGGTTGTTTTTAGCACTGTCACACCTAGGTCTCTTTGCAAGAACACCTGTTTGACGGTACTTGTTCCACAGTTGAGAAATTCAGGGGTTGAAAAATTATTAAAAATGTTACTTGACCAAGGGCAAGTATGACCAACATTCTCACTTGCCCTATTTTAAAATGTACTAGCCCAAAATCTAGCTAATAAATTCAGTAAAATGTTACTGCTGCAGAACTGAGAATAAAATTCTGAAATTTGAACATCCATCAATAAACGTTCTCTTACGATTGCAAGCGTGTATGTTTGGGTACTTGGAACAAATGGTGCACTTCATGACTTTCGCTGTGTCATCATACGCAACCCAAGGAAACTGGTCTTTCCACCCAGCGATGAATGTTCGTTTTCGTTTACATTCTTCATACTTCTTATTCTTTGCCGATATACAACTTTCGGAATTTCCCTCTGCCTTCCTTTTAAGTTCGTCCCCACCGCCAAAGAAACTTAAAATAGACCGCTGAGACATGATCGGCCATGTGCGGTACTGGCAATATAAATTGTTATTGCAGATACCCCTCTGGGTGCTAATGAGGCAAAGGGAAGCTACTCTGTCCTTTACTAGCTTACTCATTTGAAAGAACAGATTTACTTATAGTGATCCCTCGCTATTGCACTCTTCAATATAGCGCTAACTCGGTTATTGTGTGCGGTAACACATGGTTCCCAAAACTTATATACACTTTTAGTAAACTCAAATCACTGACACGATGTCATTTCCCCATCGCAAAAACATTACCACCTGCACGCAACACCGGAAATACCAATCAACAAATTCCGCAATTAAATCCTATTATGACTATCTGGTTATACAAAAAACACGTTTGTACCTTGACATAAGTTTGTAGCATATTTTATTAATTTTATTTAAAATTTCATTCAATACAGTTTAGATCTTTAGATTTTTTCCGAAATCGTGCGTAAAGGGGTCGATAGATCGCACAACTCGCCGTTATTTACAGCAACCACGGTCAGCGCCTCGAATGAACTTTAGTTGACAACGAAAAGAAACACATATTAAATAAATGCCATACTTTCACTCGTTAAAAGTTCTGTTTGTTTTAGTTCGACAAAATTATATTTCATCAGAGCTAAAGTCGGAAAATGTTTCAACCTCGCGTTACAATTTCCAAGAAACATGTGCCATATATGGAAGTGTTACTACGATTTAACAATGCAATAAGCCTGGTTCTCGTTGTTGACCTGCCTGACATCGAAATGTATTAATCCCATTGGTTGACTGGCGTAGCTGTATGCAAATTACATTGTCAATCTGGGACACTAACAAAATATTAGCCAATCAAATACCGTAACATGATCACATGATTACATTCGCGTGAAACTTGACCCAGTTCATTTTGTGTGCTCTACTTGTCCACGGGCATGCTAGAAAACGTATATTACACGCCCGACATCTAAACCTTACTTGGCACGGGCGTCGGGCAATGGTATTTTTCAACCCCTGGAAATTACACTTTTTGATTTGCCAATCTTTCCGGCAACTTGGGACATTGACGCCCCCCTCTATCGTACCCACAATTCACTATATTGTCTGTTCACTGAGACACTGACTTGGAGGCATTTTTAAGCCTGTGCTCAGTTCAATTGCATTAGTGATTGTGAGTTCCCCTAAAGGCACACACACTTTGGCTTCTATGTGCATGTGCATCACATGATGTTCCCAGTTGTCTACGGCGCCGCCATTCGCTGTGCAGAGTTGCATCCCTTCTGCACGCCAGATAGCTGTGGGTTCGAATCCTGGTTCGCCCTGATTATGTTTCCAGGTTTGTCAGCAGAATACCCTTGCTCGTGGGTTTTTCCGTGTTCTGGTCCTTTGGATCACTGACAAATTTTGGACAGTGTCAAACACTGAATTTGCAGTGAAAGTCCAGTGAATGGGTCCATTTAGGACTTATCAAAAGAAAGCATGATCAGAATATCAAAGATAACATCGCAGTGTGCGAACACTGTGACTCTTTTGTGAAATATTTTGGGGGAACACAAATTAAGTGTTTTTTACAAAGTTACATAACAAATTACAGATGAAAGAACACACGCAATAAATTGTGGTATGTATTGCAATCATTAATGATGTAAATTGCAATACGAAAGTCTGAGTGAGGCCAATACCCCCATCACTATGGAATGGCATCTGAGTGTGAAATTATTAATATATATGATGTAATAGGTATCTCATAGCTGTCATACATAAATAGTGATTTTGTAAACACTATCTAATATGGTGGAAAGTTCACTTTGGCGTTCATGTTTGCTTATTTTCTCAAAAATGCTAAACACTCTTGGGTTCTTGGCAATGTTTCATTGGTGCAGTGATAAACCTAGGATTTTATTAAGGTGGGCCCAAGGGCCCATAGACCTTGACAATTGCGGGCCTTGTCATGAATATCGTGGGGCATGTAGTAAATGTGATGCCTGTAAACATGAAAAAAACACATGAAGCATGCAAGACCAATCAGTCAAACAAATCAGTTATTCAAACAAATCAGTAATATTAGACAATCGGGCATAGTTTCTGTGGTGGCATTACTGCCACAACTTCACCCCTATCCCCCAGACACAAGGACAACTGTCACAAGCATGCAATGTCTGACCGTTTCCCTCGTTTGAGCATATTGAAAAAAAACCTTCCCTGCACTTTTTTTGTTTAAAACAAGACAACATTGTAAACATAAGACTTTAATTCAACATCTCATGTACAATGTTAAAGGCATGATGCTGAACACATTGATGAAAACAGAACAATGGTATTTGTTTCTGAATCTTTCTCAGAATGACAAATTTGCTAAATTGAATCATTTGGTGTTAGCAAATATATTGAGTGAAGCGGCATTGTTTTGAGTGGGTTGATGATCTGAATTACGCAATCACCAATAACAGCCTTTAAACACTGTAATACTTCACTTTAACATATGACATGCATTGAAACTTGTATAAGTTATAAGCACGACAACTGGGTAAGCTTACATGAGATGGGAAACAATATTACCACCTGTTCAAAATATGATCTACAAAAAGCTTTAATGTTCAAAAGTTTGTGTTATGGTTGAACAAACATAATCAAAACATACCAAATGTATTCACGAGTCGCCATTCTTTTCATGCTTGATTAAAAACAAAATTCAACCAGCAGCTGTTACCTGCAAATGCTTCGGACGTGCAGGCTGAAACTGGAATAACAGAGAACTGCTCATAATAGCATCCTGATGTAGCAATGGAAACATGGCTGGACATGTATGGTCAAGTTCTGTGAAATTGTCACAACTTCATAACATTTTATGTGATGATACACCTGCATTCAACAGTCACACTATTCATTCTAATAGTGAACACCTTTATCAGCAGGGATCATGAACTGTACATTGTGGTGTTGGTATGCTTCATTTTGTTCATGTTGACAATAATACCATGTTTGTTTACAGGAAGCATTCCTCCCCTTGCTGGAAGCCAAAACAGTAGCAGAACTTAGAACAGCAATAAGAAAAGCCCTGACATACATTCTCCCTCAAGTGGTAAGTACATGTGACATCAGTTATCACACTTGAATAAAACAAGTCTTATTTTAGATTCACATTGAGGTTTTTGTACCTGCACTTTTTCTTTACATGGTATTTACATATCAGATGCTCACCTCATCTAGAAGCCCAAGAGAGATTATGTCATGATCTACCATAATCTATTCCTCTAATACTGCTGGTTTGACTCTAGTAATTGTGATTGGCATTCAACTTCAACAACTGTAGGTGGTGTTGCAAAAATAGGTTTTGCATGTATCATGTATGTAGTGATATTGTCTTGAATCATAATGAATACCAGGTATTAAAGTATGGGTGCCAGCAACACTGTTCAGGTGGCTGTTTATGAGATCAACATTTGCACTATGGAAGTGAATGTAACAGTTTATTATCAGCTGAGGAGCTGCAATGTATTGTAGTGTACAAATTTCATCATCAGGATTTGAATTTCCTTTTATGTTAGTGACCATTGCAGCCGTAGAAACTAACATGTCCACTAGTCCTTATAATGATAACATATAAACTAAACCCTTAAAATTGGCAAATTTCTACTAGTCCCTATGATACCTTAACCATGTTAACTATTGGGCAGTTTGGCAAGGACTACAGGACAAGTGCCAATTTCTAATGCTGAATTGGGCAGTTAAAATGATACTTGCATCTTGAAAAGTAATGAAATATTTAACAATACCTTGTGACCTTGTGATGATAATGAATCAAGTATTGCATGTAAGAGGCTGATACATGTTCTAATGTGACAAACAACCCACATGACTTGTGATGAAAGGGCCTTGCAAGCATTTAGCATTGATTAGATTTCACTTCTAACTTCAGTTTTACTACAGCTTATCTGTATTTAGTACCTTGGTAAATATCAGACAGACTGGAAAAGTGACCATGCTGACTTTTGCTGAACATTCATCTGCTGATGTTTCATGCACCTCCTTCGTGGTTCCAAGAGCCATACATTTGTCAGAAATCATATAAAAAGGTGGTATTCACCTCAGCCATTCCTAACACACCAACAATATGAAATAGAAATGATTTCATTTGGGTCTACTTATAGCTTTTCATATTCCAGGTGGCTAGATTGGAAACATGCTAAAAATAAATTTTTGGATAGGCAGACACATCAATTTGGTTTGGCCTGACAGTTTCTTTTTATTTACATTATACGATTCATTTGGGCAGAGAGTGTCTGTTCTCAGCAGGAATTGTCTTCATCAAGACACCCTGGTAAGGACCCATGGCCTGAATGAGTCTTTCCTCCACTTCACACATATAATGGAGTGAGTGTATTCATATCTCTTGTTCGAGAGAATGTTTCCCCTTTGATCTGATTATGGAGGTAAATGGGCACAAATTCCTATGAATAATTGTTCTCTTTGTAAGCCATGTAAGCCTAGACTGGTCTTTTGGAAGAGACATTATCGATCGTAGGTGAATGGAAATGTCTTCTGTTCTTGCCGGACAATATAGCTTTCTCAGTCAACAGATTTGTAGTGGCTGTTGGCAGCAGAACTGGCCATGAACATAGTTAAAGGTTGGAGATTAGATGTAATGTGGTCAAACACTTACAACCCTCAGATCACTTAATTGGTCAAGCAAGTGCTTTTTTAACAAATATCTGGGGTGAACCCTGGTACATCGTGTGTTTTCATGCGTCGATACGATACACGATATGTTTTTTCTGTATTGAAACAAGATGATACACATGCATAAACAGATTACTTTATACTCGTTTATTGATTTTCTCTCCACCTCCCAGTGTTTGTCAGTCAAATATCGCAAAATGTATTGTAATTACTGTTTCAAGTTCGCGACTAAAAATAACCACTACAAACATGTGTCAACAGCTTGCTTCTCCTTTTAAACCTGCTCTGAAATATTTATAGTCAAGAAGTTTACATGCGATTTGACATGAATATGCATATCGCGATATGTATCATAGTATCATATCATGAACTTGTGTTTCACCCCTACAAATATCTGCATCATATAAGATGCAAATGATTGTATACATTGTTCTTATCTCATAGTCCGTAGGATCCAAGAACATGTATTTCCAAGATGTATCATTTTGGTAAACCTGCACCATGACCATGACTGGAATTTATATTTTTTAGGTACTTTTTTTTACTAAAAGCCAAGGCAAGTCTAGATCAAACTATCCAAATCTAGTTCGCTTGATTCCACAGTCTATGAAAACAGCAGAAGAGGAAAGGTTCTTTCGAAAAAAAGAAAAACCTTATTTGAAGACAAGTTTTCATTGGCTAAGTGTTAGTCTACAGCAGAAGAGGAAAGGTTCTTTCAAGAAAAAAAACAAAAAAAACTTAAAAGACATGTTTTCATTGACGAAAGTGTTAGTCTATGATTTTGGTTGCTTCTGTATTTATCTTGGAAATGTTGGTTAAAATAAAAAAATATTGTGATTGTTAAACATGCGAGTTCAGCTTGTGTGACAGTGTTATTCTTTAACATTTTTTATTATGTCAGTAAGCATGCTCTGCTTTCGTGTGTCAACTAAACATCTGCTGCAAGACTATCTTTGCATCATTTTCTGTGGCTGTTAGTGCTGATATATGGACTGTGATAATGATTATGGACAGAGCTTACAAGACTCCGGCTTTGACTTTTCTGTGTGTGGTGCTGCAGCAAGAGTAACCAAAAAAAAGCAATCTTTTCTGTTAGTGCAGGACACAATTGTAAAACGAGCACATGCATTGATTTAAGGTCTGTCCAAACTTCATTGCTCTGCTCTCCTACCATGTTTTCCTTGCACATTTTCCTGCCACAAAATAGAATTGTGTAATCCTGACTCTCTCTGTCATTATTGATTATACAAGAAATGGATCATCATGTGTAGTGTGCATAGAGGTAAAACTGTGGTTACTTGAACTTGAAGTGTCTTGTGGATGCAATCAGATGGAGTAAGGGCTTCAGGTTCCATGCGAATAGACAACCGATACTTGGCTCCATGATTGCTCAGTGATTGAGAGTACTACCAGAGAAATACAGCCTCTTTTTTTCTGTGATACACATGAAATTAGTAATAGTTAACTGATAATTACGGCAGACTCAGTCACATCAAAAAGGACTCTTTGCTTTGTGTTCTTTTATCAGGATTTTGCAGCTGAAATATCTCTGTGGGTCCTCAAAACTGTCTAGAGGAGTGAAGTTTGTTGGATCTGGGAAAAAACAATATATCTTTGCGTAATTGGTTTTCAGTCACACACCCTAACAACAAATAAATAAATACGGAACCTAAGTTATCTTACCTGTTAACTTGACTTCTATTGATGTTTTGAAGAAATCATGATTGTTTTTATCCTTGTTATCATGGTAATAAAGAAACGATCGTCCGATTGCTGCAGCTACCAAAATAAACTTCAGGACAGTGACATCAATCAGTCAGATGATTGGCTGACCAACAGTGATCTCCCTTGAACAAATATGGTGCACTTGGAGGGCAAAAAAATTTGTCGTCCCTAGCAATCCATAAAATGAGTAATTTTACAAAAATATGTACAAGTGACTGTTACATAATGTTCGTTATGGTGAATACAAAAGCGGTCCCATTCTAAACACTTTCAGATATTATACACATATATACACATGTATACATGTCTCAGGTGTCCTGTTCATTCTTTTTTTTCATGGTGACATGGACACCAGAACTCAAGAATAACACGGGTACACACTTTCAAATGTACCCAATGGTGACAAGAAGGGTGTGTGCACTGGGACCACAGCATAAACACACTGGATGCACATCCTCAAAGTTCTTTGGATTGGAATCTGTGGCACTGGCAGCATAGTTCATCAGAGTCAACTTTGTTGTTTGCATCATAATATTCAATGCCGAGACGATGCAAGAGGATGCCTTATGTGCGTGGCTTGGGGTCAGGTTTATTCTGCCTCATTACAACCTGTCCCTTGTTGACTGGAGGATGGTTTGCCTGTTGTTCAATGTTCTTCTCTGGAATCAATCTTGTCTCTAATGATTGCACTGATGACTTTCCTTTTCTTTTCGGCTGTGGTTCTGCCTTAGAACATTCTGTTTTCTGCTGAAGAATGCCACACTGTCTTCTTGCATAACTGAATGTTCTGTACAGTCCTTTTGTCTGTCTCCTACCTCCTTTACCACGGCACTTGATCATTGCTCCTCTTGAAAAACAGTTGAAGAGGCAAAGTTAATTCCAGTCATAGCAGCCAGCGTGTCAAAAGGATAAATGCCACATGCCTTGAGAGAGGCCTGGGGATTCACTGGAGTCAATGGTAATGAATACTCCTGACAGGCCAAATGACACATTGAATGTCTGCTTACAGCATGGTTGCATGGTCGCACATAAACTTGTGTATAAACCCTCAAAAATTGACTGAAATATACAACATCCATAGGTTACAAGATGCAGGATGTATCACTGTATGAGCTGGCAAAACAAACAGAATAATATCATGTTCACGATGCTCAGTTTATCAATGGTAGAGATATAGGACCTATGTTCATCGTAAAGAAAGAGAATGGGACGGTCAGTAGACACAGTGACACTGTGTTTCAGAAAGTGGTGCTCCAGGTAATAACAAAAAACTTCGGAATTTGACAATCCGGAATCAGAGATTTTTCCTGCTGCTCTAGGTGTCAAGTATGGTCAATGTACTTGACTTGGGATTGGTGACGGCTCTCGGTGTGACATGGTTGGATGATACAATGCAGAGTGGGGTGTGATGCTCCACTACGCCTTTTCATCTACGTTATGAATGTGATGTAGACTGTCTTTCAAGCCGTACCTGTCTAGGATTCTGCGAAGTTCCTGAAAGTAGTGGCAGACTGCCTCCTCATTTTTTTTCGGATCTTGCCAGTGCTTGATGAAATTATAAAAACCACTGAATGGACAATGACTTGTCTTCTTTGGATCACTTGCGAAGATGAATAGCTAAGTCAGTGGCAAGAGTGACTACCTCCATGTGTATAACCGTATCCAAAATCAGCCATG